ATAGGGAACCATTGTTGCCAATCTCCAGGTGAGGGCTGGAGAGCACTCAGTATTACAACTGCTCTGCAGAAGGGAGGGCAGAAGTCAGCTGAAGTCAAAGGGGCAGATAATGGTAGGTTGGTGGCTAGCTGGGAAGGAGATGGGGTTGCCAACTACATGCTGACAAATTCCTGGGGATTTGAGGGGTGGAGCCTGGAGAGGGTGGGGTTTGCAGAGGGGTGGGACCTCAGACAGGTAGAATGCCATAGACTCCACCCTCCAAACCAGCCATTTTGTCCTGGGTAACAATTGTTGCCAATCTCCAGGTGAGGGCTGCAGATTACTCACAATTACAACTGCTCTTCAGGTAGCAGAGGTCAGTTCCTCTGGAGAAAACAGTGGACTCTGTCATTATACCCTGCTGAGGTCACCACAGCAAATTGACACTGTTTGCCCAAAGCCAGAGCACTGCCCCAGAGCCTCTTTCTAGATCCCGTTGTATTGCTTTCACAACGGGCTTTACTGCTAGTGTTGTTATAAGAGGGAACTGGATAAGTATATGGAGCAGAGGTCCATCAGTGGCTCTTAGCCACAAGGTATAGATAGGAACTCTCAGTCTGGGGCAAGGGATGCTCTGTATTCTTGGTGCTTGGGGGGGGACAACAGTGGGAGGGCTTCTAGTGTCCTGGCCCCACTGCTGGACCTCCTGAGGGCACCTGGTATTTTTGGCCACTGTGTGACACAGAGTGTTGGACTGGATGGACCATTGGCCTGATCCAACACTGGCTTCTCTTGTGTTCTTATCAGAGGGAATTGGATAAGCATATGGAGCAGAGGTCCATCAGTGGCTCTTAGCAACAAGGTATAGATAGGAACTCTCCGTCTGGGGCAAGGGATGCTCTGTCTTCTTGGTGCTTGTGGGGGGGGATCAATAGTGGGAGGGCTTCTAGTGTCCTGGCCCCACTGCTGGACCTCCTGATGGCACCTGGTCTTTCTGGCCACCGTGTAACAGAGTGTTGGACTGGATGGGCCACTGGCCTGATCCAACATTGGCTTCTCTTATGTTCTTATGCAAGAACTTAGCTGCCTTGCCAACTAGCTAAACTGTAGATTGGTCTTCACATCTATAATATCAGGAACAGGGTTGCCAGCTCCATGTTTGGGAATACCTGGAGATTTGGAGCTTGAGGAGGGCGGGGTTTGGGGAGGGGAGGGACTTCAGTGGGGTAGAGTCCACCTTCCAAAGTAGCCATTTTCTGTAGGGGAACTGATCTCTGTCGCTTGGAGGTGTAATTCCAGGAGAACTCCAGCCACCACCTGGAGGTTGGCAGCCCTAATCAGGAAGAATTCAACCATTGGTGGCAATCCCAGAATTCCCAGTTCTGGCTTAGGCTGATGTGCAGAGCAGGATGCCCCTGCAGGGGAGGTTTTATTTCATGTATTCACTAAGAGTACATCTCACCTTTTCAGCTCACGGAACCTTCAGGGCACCAGACGGTCACTGAAACGTGTGCACAGAGCCATTTAAGCCCCTGCTTTCTGCTCCTTACGGGCTGCCACAAACGGCATCACAATTCGTGGAAGTTCATGGCGGTTGTTCAGTTCGCGAACATTGCTTTGTGAACCACGAACCGCCCAAAATTCGTGAGGAAGTTTAGTTCGTCAGCTTGTTCGTGCCTGTCCCTGCCCGGCATCAATGCTCCCTCTAAGCTGTGGGGTCTTGTGAGCATAAATTCTACTTTGTGAGCTGCTGGCCTTAAAGTTGGGAGCGAGCGATTTGGCCGCTGCAAAATCAGTTTGCTCTGGAGCCATCCCTTACTGAGCGAAGACAAAAATGTGTGAGCCGGAGGCTAAAAAAAACGGTGAGCTACCTCACACTAATTCAGCTTAGAGGGAACACTGCCTGGCACCTGCTCCCCAGGTTCTCTGGCAGAGAGAGGTCTTTCCCATTACCTGCTACCTGAGAGACTTTTTGAACTGGAGTTATAAGATCCATCCTGCCAACCTTGCAGTTTGAAAGCAAGACATTGCAAGTCGATAAATAGGTACCACTTCAGTGGGGAGGTAACAGCGTTCCATGCGCCTCGGCATTTAATCATGCCGGCCACATGACCACGGAAACGTCTTCGGACAGCGCTGGCTCTTCGGCTTTGAAACGGAGATGAGCACCGCAACCCTAGAGTCGGACTCGACTGGCTTTCGAGCAAGGGAAGCCTTTACCTTTTACTTATAAGGTCCATCGGAATGCAAAACAGCACAATTAGCAGCTGCAGAGAGCAAGACTAAGGAACGGCTCATTTGCGAGAAGCAGGGGCGGATAAAAATCACCTTGACAGGGTGCTTGGGAATATCTTTCCACAACTGAGACTCCACAAAAGACCTCTTCTGCTCTTGGCAGCCCAACTCTTTGGAGGCAGAGGCACCCTGAAAACAGACAAGGAAGATGAGCTCGGAAAAGCCACTCCTACGGGAGCTGACCCGAAGGGGGGCGGGCGTAATCCTTTTGTCATTTTTCCTCTGCAGCCCTCCCGCACCTCTCGCTGCAGCTGTTTTCCCCATCTTGCCTAGGAAAACATCTCTGGGAACTTTGGGTCAAGCTTTCCGCTTCTCCTCCTCCCACCGCCCTTGCAAAGGCCCCACCTGCCTAGCCTGTTGGCAGCACACAGAGGACAGAGTGACCTTCCTGGACACGGAATTCTCTTCTTTGTTTATTTTCCTGGGTTGGGGTGGTGGGAAGTGTTGCCAGTTCGCAACCGACTTGTGGCGGCCCCGGAGGTTTTTCAAGGCAAGTGACAAACCGGGGTAGTTTGCCATTGCCTACCTCTGCGTAGCAACCCTGGACTTTCTCGGTGGTCTCTCATCCAAACAGGGGTCATTTCGTAGAAAAAGAGGTGCAGGAGCTCATTAGCACAACTCATTAGCATAACTCATTTGCATATGTCACACCCCCTGACATCACTGGAAGTCTGTCAGAAGGCAACACCCACCGCTCAGGCTCCACCCGACTCTTTTGGATTGCTAGCTATTGGGGGGGGGGGATGTGCAGATCTGCCCTAGCAGGGGAGGGAGAGCTTGTACCTTTAAGACTTGGTCTTAAAGGTGCCACTGGACTGTTTTCGATTGCTAACTATGGGGGGGGGGGGGCACAGATCTG